ACCCGAACATTTCCACGTGATCCGAACATTTTCACATGGTCCGAACCATTTTTTTCGCCATGGCTAGGGTACTAGAACTAATCATCACTTGAATAACGACATACATGTGATCTTATTGTCACACCTGAGTGGGAATAACCTATACTAAGTGGAAATAACATAATTATTATTATGTTATTTCCACTGACGTGGTGTTAGACGTGGCCAAGAAATAGTGTTTCTATTTGTATTACTTCATTAATCAGTCTTTGCTGGATTTCGAGAAGGCGGGCGGTTTGTATCTGATGGTTGCCAGGTTTCAGCCTCAAACAGTTTGCATCCCCTGATTGTTTTCCGCCATGATTTTTATTAAAGATGCCGTTTTTATTTTGGCCAGTGGTGGTGAGAGTCTAGCAATGGTATATTGTTGGATTAGCTATGTTCAGTGGCAAGGATTTTCTTAAAGCTAAAGGTTGTTTGCTATGAATAAAAAACATTTCAAGATGTTTATATCAAGGCAAGCAAAGTCATTCCCAAATCAAATCTTTACCTGTCTATACCACAAATGGTCCTATGGGTTCTCACTTTGATCATGCACACAACCATGCAGGCCTATTTGAGTTGACTTGGCTATTACAAGTATGTATAAAGGCCAGGCATCGGACACCATATAGTCTCCGTCCTTAACTACGTATGCCCGAACAGCATCAACCTTCTTCGGCACCTGAACATTTGGATGGTGATAGACGGCGGACCTACGGTTTTTCGACTTGAACGAGTTGAACCTTTCCGCAACGTGTAGCGTATCGAATCGTCTTCATCGTCAGCCGCAAGATTAACGACATAATCTCCTTTCCAATCGGTCGGAATAGTGCGAGATACATACACAGGGCCACCATCTGATTTGGTTTGGAGTTGCTTGTGGAACTGAAGCAACGCGTAAATATGATGCTGTCCATCCGCATAAAGCTCCCGTATTCTTTAATGGAGTTCGCCCTGTCGCCGGATAAGACCACCTTCAACAAGAGTTCTTCCAGATCTTCTCGCACTTCGGGGATATGTAAGGGACACCTTCGAAGCAAATCTAATACCTCCCTGGCGTCTGGGCATGTTGATGTATATATAACAAGTTAACATCGAGAATCAAAGGTGGGGGACCCCCACTTTATATAACAAAACGTTATTTACCTTAACACGTACACTACGCGATCAAAACAACAACAAAAACTTTCTATTGGCTAGTATGAAGCTCTTTGGCAGAGACTAACCGAAATAATAATTTATTTGGGTTCACGTGGACGTGTGTTATTGGTCCGTTTTTTGTCGCTTATAGTATAACATATTGTAATGTCGCTCGAAGTAATCAGGCAGTTTTGTTTACTGATCATGCATCTATTGCCTTTATCGGAGTTTCCAATAGTCAAATCCTAAATCAGCTCTTAATTCCCTGCTTTACGTATTATCTAATCAGACGAACTCAATGTTGGTATTACTTTTAAGAATGATCGTCAGAATACGTTACAATAAAGCAGTGTTCATTCATTTACTATCAACAAAGTTTATATTGTTGAATGGTGTAAGTTCGAAAATCTGTGCAAACATATTAATATATTTATAAATACGGTTTAGTGCGAAATTAAGTAAAAACGAAAATCTCGATAAACCGAATAAATTGCTTATTCCCAAAGCTTTGTCTTATCGAGCTTGCCTTGTATCGATTCTTTGTATCACATAGCTTTTCGCGGATTATGAAATATGAGACACGTTTACCGTCCAATCCATCGTATATTAATATTAATATGCGGTTAAGAGCTATAATTTTCTATTAGCACCTCAATACAATGAAACGTCACCATGTTTGTTTGTAAACAAACGCGTCTTTCTTATTAACAAACCAATTTTTATCTCTATTTTTATGGTTGTGAGAAAAAGTACTTTCGTTATTTTTTATACTTTGCCTAATATATAAAGCATGTTGCCTTTCTAAAGGAAACATTTCATAAAACTAAACAACACCTGACAACATGCTTTTCCGAGATTATTTATCGTGAGATAATATCAATTACATATGAAGCAAATAACAGTAGTGAGCCCTGATAATTCTTATTAATTTTTCGCCCTACTAAATAAGAGTGATCGGACTCGTGTGAGCCAAATATTTATTCCCTATTTACTATTTTATAATTATATGAATAAAAGTGGATTCGCTAGCCCTCAACTAGCTTCTCAAATAGCCTATTTGTGCGTCACTTGTCAATCACTGATTGGTGACAAAAATTCTAAAGGTCATCGTTTCGCCCGTCAGGTCTTAAACACCGACAATTAATGAACACAGCATTACAGCCATGAACATAAGAAAATTTCTGTTCTTGACATGGATTGCGCTGGCATTTGTCACAATTTCGACCTTTGTCAGCGAGGTTACGTCGGAAGAATTAGGCAGGACCCCGGAACTAAAGAAGAAACACGACTACAAACTTACCTTTAAGAAGCCCTATTATTTTAATGCCACCGTACCCTTCTGGGACATATATGGGAGTAAGTCTTCGTTTCACTTATACTCCGAGAAAAGGCTCGTGTGTATGTATGCAATTGAACTAAAGATATCCCTCATCACTCTCTGATAACAAGATAGATACACTTTCTGCACCTGATTTCATCCGCTTGGCGCCGGGCGTACCCCGACAGGCTGGTTCGATATGGTCTCGGATACCCAATCCTCACAAAGAATGGCAGGTTGTGCTCTCTTTCAAGATATCAGGCAATTATTATACGGGTGGTAGAGGCATCGCATTCTGGTATACGAAAGATCGGGGAAATCCAGGCCCCATTATTGGAAATCAAGACAAGTGGGAAGGGTTGGGGATCTTTTTCGAGACCGCCGCTCCATCAATTGGGGTACGTGACGTTTGTGTAATAACTACGAAAGAGACTGAATTCGACAAGAAGCGTTCTGCCCGCTCATTTACGTTTGTGTAATGTAATTTTTTCAGCGAACGTATCCTTACGTGTCAGCACATCTTAACGATGGAACCAAAAAATACGTCGAGGAGCGAAGTCCGGAAAGTGCCACTTTCGGTTCATGTTACCGGGTATTCCGGAATACTCAGGTTCCGAGTCTAGCACGAATTACATACAAAGACAAGAACCTGATGCTCGAAGTTGATGCTCATCACGGTGGAGAGAACTATCACAAATGCTTCGAGGCCGAGAATATCGAACTTCCAACTGGTTACTATTTTGGTGTTTCGGTATGTTAAATAATTCAATGATCGTTAAACATTCTTGGAACGCATCCTAATCTTAACACGGTTTGTTCTATTAGGCGTCAGCTGAAGGATCAACGCCTGGCAAGTAGCAACTTGAGCATATTGAATGAGAGCGCTACGAAAAACTCTAATACTCATTATTCTACGCAATTAAATAGATGATCATGACGTAATAGCATTCGAGACATACGAAATCAATCCAGCGGAGCGTGCCAAGGTAAGTAGCTATCAAGCGTTTCAATATTTAATAAAGACTTTTAAACGATTTTCTGCTCTGTAATAGCGTCCACTCCGTCCACACGAGAAAGATGGGGCTTCATCGACACCGCCAGAAATTCCCGAAGAGATTAGAAAGGTTCGTGCACTTGTTTATACTGAACGCGACTATGATATATGATTACTAACATTCTGTACCTCTTGTGTCTTTAGAGGATCGAAGAAGTGCAAAAGGTTGTAAATAAGCCTACGGAAGAGTCAGGAGAGGGAGGTTATCAAAACTTGGACTTTATCAAAGGGATGCAAACTGAGATCATGGAACAGTTAGTAAGGCTGCAATGGCAGCTTGATTCAATAGCGGGTAAAAAAGTCAGTGCTCCAGGGCAGTTCCACGTCCCTCCACCTAGGAACGAAATGCATCAATTGGCTGTACTGAAGTGAGTCATCATTGACAGTAAAAAGGTTTACTTTTCATGGAAATGTATTTATGACTTTTCTCGTTCATAGCGAGAAACTTGACCATATTGTGGCCAGCTTGATGACGACTGAGGAACATTCTGTTTCTCCAGTTACAAAAGAATTGATTGATCAACTAAGACACCTCACATCAAAAATCACCATCCTCGATGTAAGTCCACGGATTATTATAATCGCGTTCTTGTTCTCTATTAACTCTCTAACAAATACCTTCTATTGCTTTATCCAATATCAGTCTCGTATATCAGCCCAAGACGTCCAACTTCAAAAACTGAATCAAGCCATTAACGCGCAAAAACAAAAAGAACCACCTGGGATATTGTTTTACGCTTTGTACGGTCTTTTGACATTGTTCTTGCTGTATTGTCTTTACTTCGCTTACAGGCAATATGAAGAATCAAAGTCGAAAAAATTCATTTAGGACACTTTTTGTCAACTCGATGTTTGAATTTCGGTGAACGAGTCACCAAATTCATTAGAATTAGTTATTTGATTGAAAATGTAAATATCTTTGAATATTTTGAGAAGGGGAAAAAGCCATTGTAATTATATATTAGGGTTTAGCACATTTGCGTCGTTCTATTTCTTTCATCTTGGGACATTGCATTTCTTCCCATGAAATAGGGTACATGGCACATCCACCTGTTGGACATGGGAATACAAATTAGAAACGCTGCAATGAGGACTTGATGAAGTAGGACCTCGTTAGTAATCAAATCCACTTGCCTGTAAAACTGGTTGCATATATAACACCAAAGTCATTGTCTGCAGTTGACAAGTAGTAAGATCGTGCATCTCCCAATGAGATCTATAGAAATAAAATATTAAGGGCTAATAATTACATCGAATTCTTTTTGTTATATACAATGCTTGCTCAAAAAGTCCAAAGCAAAAAGGATACAACTTTTGCCCTAACGATATCTCCTGGTCGGAATGAATCGCTTATCTTGACTTTATCTCTATCAAATTGTCTAACATCCTGTTTGCTGAATGATTATTGCAATTTTAACTTGAGGGCTACAATCCGAAAAAACACAAAAAGAGACGAGGGAAAAGAGATTCAACCGTATTATCCCCTGAAAATCTTCCCCGCAAGGAGCATTGCCGATAACCATTATGGAGACGACAGCCTCGCGTTGGTTTATTCGTATAACTTTACCGGTTATCTGATAAAACAGTAGACCTGGAATGTTGATTACGTTGATATGCTGAGGGTCTATAAACATACATTTTAAATCAAAGCCTCTTACTATGTTTCCGACGGTAGGAACAGCTGATTGCACCTTTTCCTTTGACACTGTCAAATATCGGGTCTAAAATAGTGTTAGCATCAATAGTATAATTGATTATCATAATACAACAATTTAATGTTGGATGTGTGCGTTCAACAGAAGCAAACTTTCAGGTTAAACATTCGCGTTTAGGCAACAATGTTTTGCTGATATAATACCTTTTTGTCAGTTTCGACCAAGACTCTTTTAACGCCAACAACACTGGCGTATAAGAAGTCTCCTCTAACATAAGTACCTGGACCCGCAGCATAGTCCTGTGCGTGTCCGAGGCGTTGACCAGGAGTTACTATCTCTACGGGCATGGTAAAAAGAATTAAAAAGAGTACCAGTCAAATAATTCATATTATTTCGAATATAAGGGAACACAGATCCAGACCAATTACCATAATTGGCTTAGATCTGAATCGCGTACATTTTACCAACTTCAACTTTTACCATTACTGTTACTATTACGCTTGTTTAATAATGCTACGTCCCAACCAAAACAAAACATTTCCGGAGAAAGAAAATGCTGACACATACAAAACCCCTCAGAAAACCGTGTTGACAAGGACTCCCCTTGTCAAAACTCCAAAGACACCATATAGACCGCTCCAAGATAAGACTAACAAGACACCTTACGTTTCGCGGGTGCTTGCAAGTGGTTACAAGACTCCAGGAGGGGAAAACAAACAGCTCGAAAGCGAATTACGGTCTGTAATTAACCCAAAGACAACTGGTCGCAAGAGACTTTCGGGGACACGTAGCAGACATTCGAGTAGCAAAAGTTGCAAAAAGTTTGATAACATTGAGAGTGGCAATAGTACAGTATCAGAATGCGATGACAAGCTTAACTTTACGATAGATAATGTACCGGAAGTGGAATACTGTCCTCCTCGTAGTCCGGGTCCGTTCGGCGTTTATTTTGCAAAGTTTTATCGTACATGTGTTCTTTATGCTAGACTTTTAATCGTGGTCATTACTTTTAGAGCCTCCTTTTGACGTAGAAGAGGATCTTCGCGTAAATCTTAAATCCGACATATTAACACTACCATTAAATGCCGATGCGTTTGAGTTTGAAGACGTCGAACTTGATATACCAATAATGCCCAAGACGGATGAAGAAGGAGAATTGCGACTTGGGGACAAATCGACTTCTACGCCAGGAGGTACGTTACCCTATAGCGCTCTTGACAAGTTTCGGGAAATTAACGTCATGTCTGGTTTATTTGCAGGAATGCATGGATTTGCAAAATATTACGAGATGCTTTGCGACTTTGAAGAGACAATTGAACAAATGTTGGGAGGGCCAAAATCTTTTGACAAGATACTAGAGAAATATCATAAGCTCGACTTTCCATTAGGAAACTGACATTAGCTGTTGAAATACATTTAAATTTAAGCTTGGCTTGGTTATTAGGCGTTCACTGAAGAAAAAAAAAGGAAATACAACAGACCTCAGTTTATGTGCGGAGCTACCGAAATTAGTTATCGCAATGCTCCGCGCACATTGTGATAACCGTCTGCGTTATCTTCTTCATTCGTATCATTGTCAGCTCCTGCTTCATTAGGATCGTTTTCATCAAAATTCTCGTTTTCACTAACCGTGGTGGGGGTTGTCTCGCCGGTTCGTGATCTTAGCAAAGCGGCCACATCCAACCATCCTTCATTAAACGTCACTTCTGCGGGCTTGTTTGGAGGTAACGAATCTTTTAACAACATAAGTTCTTGTCCATGTTTTAACACATTTTATCAGACCTACCGTCTTCCCTTCGGCATTCTTCACTGTCGGATCAGCGCCATGGGCTAAAAGTAGTTGTGCCATCTCAACAGTTTCTGCCGCGTAAAGCGGTGTGTCACCATCCATATCACGAATATTGATGTCTGCTCTTTGAGACAACAGATATTCGACTATTTGTATGTGATTGTAAGATACTGCCGCGGTAAGAGGACTATATCCGAAAGCATCTTGTGCATTTACAGAAACGCCCGACGAGATATATTCCTTATCATTGACGTGGAGATGAGTGACGGAATTTTAATTTAGCTGATAATTTGATTCGAGTTTTGGTAACATACCTTGACACAGTCAAAATCCCCTTCGCCTGAGAATGCATACAGATGGTCAGAGAAAAGCCATTAAAGAATGCCACATTGCTATGAATAAGGGTACCGGCTGCTATCCACACGTTTTTTTCGCCGTCCGACATGTCTCGTGAATATGCGATCAAAAAAAATGAAAATTTCCACATTTTTTGTGTCCTTTAGCCATATCACGTGAATGGTTCTACAAAGCATTACTTGTATTAACCACATAAGATGACCCCCACTCATTGATCATTACGTAAATAAAAGCTTATTGTAGCCCAATAACGGAATGTGGTTTGGTCACTGGCACGCCTGAAGGCTATTTATCTATTCTAATTTTTTATTGTCATGAATTGCTTTTTTTATTTAACTTGTTAATTTTTCATATATAAACTAAACTATCAAAATGCACAACGTTACCACGAAATTGTACTTTGAATATTTTAGCGAGACTGAAACCGAAAGATTTTTTTTTTATCGATATCGCCAAAACTTTTCAACGCAAAGTAGGCTTAGAACGTTATCATGGCCTTGTCAATGATTTTTCCTCATTGTTTGAGGAAGCTCATTTACTTATTTCCAGGTGCGTCGACACCATGTCAAATCCGCATGGCGCTATAACTTTGGCAATGTCATATGCTAGCAAAGTTGGGTTGGAGAAAAACACGTGCATACAACTTTTGTATGTAGCCTTGTGCCGGTTGATGAATAATTCAACAGAAATGTAACTTCAAGCCGTGGTTAAAAAGCGCAGAAAAATTTAGACGTCGAGACACTCATTTACTTATGGATGGGCTTGATTTCGAAATAATTAAAGCGTGTGAATTGGTCGGAGAGAAAGAAATTGGCGATTGCTCCAGTGTTGAAAATGGGAGAATGCTCGACGTGCAATGAGGTGCAAAGACGACCGGAACTCGCTTGCGTTGCCTTTAGCTAATGCGTACAGATAAACGCATTGTCAATCTGAGCAGAAGAGAAATGATTGAACGTTAGTCTTACAACGGCTAATTTACGATTAAAAAGTATCAACTTTATTCAGACAAAGTGCATATTTCTTGCAGGTGAACCACGAGCGGAGCGGATGACATGCCAAAGAATGCCGCAATATTGAGCATATTGAATGTTATCATAGTTGCCATGAGCTAGTAATTTGCTCAGACACTTAGACGAGAGACCGATATGGAATTGTTTACACTAATACTCATCAGAATGTTTGTTCTATGTGTAACAACATAAAGTTTGCATAATGCGAGTTAGTTTCATATTATTATAATCCTTTCTTTTCTATATCATACAGCAGTCGTTATCTTCATCAGCTTCTATGCTGTCACTATGATTTTGTTCTAAAACATTGGCGTTGTCTAAACAACGGAGCCACTTCCTGCTTCACAAATAATATCATCAATAGTGCTACTACCACAACCAACAATTGTAATCTCCCGCAATCCTGTTAATGAAATTCCAATGCACTGAATCTGTAGCAGAATGTTTGGCAGAAATTCTTTAAGTACTAATTAAAAAAATTAGTTGAGTTATGGTTACATTTATTGATGCATACTAAACAATTACTAAAGTAAAATTTGTCTGGTATAATCAGAATTGTTAAGATCCAGCCGTTATAGGTGGTGACATTAGTATGTAATTTTTGATGCAGCAAATTATACCCGTATATGGCAAACTGGTATGAAAAAGGTATGGATCGGTATTACACGACTGTCAACGCGTAAATAATTAAGTGATTATACTCGCGAACGAAATCTTTTATCGTGCGCTTTCCTTTGTACAGCTTCATAGGACTGTTTGCACCTTTCCGCCAAGTATGCTGACTCACATACTTTTGTCTCGTTAGCGGTTGTTCAGTGCTGCTATCTCCCAACCTCATATACTCTATATTTTGAATTTAGGTGGATCATTCATAATGAGTTTGAAGCTGGATTGAGGGAGTAGATTATTGTTTGCGGAAAATTTGGAGAATGGCAAAAAAGGGTCTGCTAATTATGAACGAAATTGTGTTTGATGCTTGGCTGATGGAGGAGGTCAAGCAGAAATCAAAATAATCCGTTTATTTATTCAAGTCGAAGGTTGGATGTGAGCATATAATGATTGAATGTACAGTATTGTGGCAAATGTTTAAATTACATATAATATCTTTAATCTTATGTTTATACAGTAGAAAAGCCAACAGTCTGGTGATATTATTAGAGTGGGATGGCATGGCATAAACTATGCCCCCTTTTTTGAAAGAGTATAATTCTAGTATTTTCATGTTTAAAGGAGATGTAGTGACAGTTATCAACTTTCGTACAAAGAGCTTCCGAATATCTAGCGAAATTTCCACTGAAACGTGGAATGTGGCGGAGGTGTAGGAAAGCTCATTTAATCTCTTTGATATCAATTACACATAATGTCTTACACTTCAACTGATAATTTTATTCCCGGGAAACAGAGAAAAGGCAGAAGAGACCGTTCAAGTATCAAATATATGGAACAGTAAGAAACGAGTTAGGATCGATGTTCATTCGTTGGCTTGGCGACTCTAAACATCCAAGAATTGAAATAACACTCTCGTACCTTTCTTTCCGTATAATGATTGTTCGCAATTATGTCTTCTTGATACAAAGTCAACCTGTTAACCGAACCCATGAGTTAACCTATGCAAAAGATATCTTAGGCCGCATAATTGAGATTCTTGAAGAGAAAATTGGCAAGAAGAAAGATAAATTTTGTCACTTGTTTTGAATAGGTTTCCCCGGAGATTCGTCGGTTACTTTGAAAAAAACGGTTAGAACGATGCGTTTCCGTGCCTGAATAGACTCTGACGTACAATTAAAAAGTCAAATGACGTGTTTTTTTGCTATCTGACAAGCAATTACCATTTTCAATGATGTTTGCATTAATGAGTGGTGGAGCTTGTTTCAAGAGCAGGAACTATTTGTGACACGTGATTCATACTCAAACCTTATTATCACGAAATCATTCTGCAGTCGCCCGAATCATTTTTTCCTGCAAAAAATAACCAAGTATAAACTAGCAAGACGATTTTTTTCTCTCAGCCAAACACGGCTTAATTTATTGTTACATTCTAGTTTTCAGTAAATAACTTTATATCTCGTTCATTATACAGTTAGTATGACATCCGGCAGTTGCCTTTAAATATTTTCTTACGCTCTAATTATAAATTATAATGTACATAAAGATGTATATAATTAAGATTTTTCTGACATCCTGGTCCACAATTTATAGAAACCTAATGTTAAAGAAAATTGCAAAAAGGTTATCGAATGAATTTCAAACCAGCAAACGGATAAAGCTACAACCAGAACACATACTCAAGGCACCAGAAGTGAATCCAGTAATTGCTTGAAATCCCTCGGAAAAGTTACACTCAAAGAAATCATATCCTAAGAGAGAGCACATTTAAGAGTTAGAATTGTCAATTAATAGTTAGGAGTTCAAAAACATTCTTTCCATGTCCCATCTCCTTATCCTCATTGTCTCCAGGACATACCACAAAAACCGAGATCGGCCGACATTTTAACCAACCCATGTTTCAACCAAAACATCTTCTCTTCCATCTTCTTCCATTCTTCTTCCGGACATCTTCCTTTCGCCCGCTCCATCTTTTTATTCAACTGCCACATATTCCACAATAATTCATGAATATCCAACCAAATGGTAACAAACCACACAGCAATAGCTATCGGCTCTACTCTTTTAGCAGTCTCTTTACTTAATATTCCAATCTTCCCCAAACAATACAAATCGTCAAGTATATCGTTCGTCATTCCCGCAACGGAATTTACAAATCCCAAATAATGAGCTACTTTCCCGTAAGGAGGGGCCTTGGGATTCAGCGACCGAACCCCAATAACATATTCTCGAAAATCAGTGTAGGGCTCAAGAAAGTGGAATAGACGAATGATTTTCCTGGTAGTCGAGAATTGAGATGTCAATGCTGAACTTCTTGCATGCAATGTTGGATATTTGGATTTATTGTTCGATAGGTAGAGCCAAAATACTATTTTTGTAAAGTATTGCACGATTTTCATCGTTTTGTCCCTTCCATCGGATAAGAGAAGCATACGGCGAAGAACCTCGTAAGGTGGTGGACGACTAACGGACTTGAATTGTGGAGCCTTTGTGACAGTCCCATTAGTGGCAGGTAGAGCGATGACTGCAGGATTCGCTACTACCGAGTCGCCGTCTGGCGTTTTCTTTTCGATAAAAGTCATTTTTAAATGCTGGGAGTAAGGGCAGACGGTCGAACACCAACGGCATTCGTCTTAAATATAATTTTTTCATACTGGTGCGGCTTAGAAACACAGCAAAAAACTGTCTATAATAATAAAAATAACAGATTCGGTAAATAAATCGGGGGTAAACTTCGGCCATTGTCCAATAACGAGCAAATCCTGCTACAAATGTCGATTGCGGAGGCGGGTTTACTTTCCCGGTATGGATTGTCATAGGTTATTGTTAGCTTTTGCGTGCATTTAATTTATGGTTTTAGTTTCTTAAAAATAATTTGAGACACCCCTTTACCATTTTTGGGTTGGTCAAAATGATCAAAATACGAAGCAATATTAATTAATATTAATATTATATTAATATCGATATAGAGTACGCTTAGTATTAGTCAAAGAATGGCGCCTACAATTCATTTAGCCGGCAACACGTCCCTGTGAAACAGGGCCCGATCAGCTTGATTATACTGTACAAGTCATTAAGAGCAAATTTATGAATATGATGGTGAACCACCACGATTGTACCCCATGCTACGCAAAAGTAAAAGAAGACAATTGTGAGTAGTATTTGTTTAATTATTATGGAATGGTGGTTAGAAGTGTGCACAGTGTCTGTATTGGGCGCAGGTTTTAGTGTATCAGCTTTGATGTCCGCGATGTTTTGGCTGTTACTATGTGCTATTCAAAACGGATTAAAGTCTGACATTAATGTTAATATATATGAATGAAAGGGAATTTGCTAGGGGTCCCGATCACTTTCTTATATCGAGAGCCACTTGTATTGATGTCTATCAGAAACGATATTAGCGTATAACGTTCGCCGAATCCTTGGGAAAACAGGGATTCGTCCTCTGCTCTTGGGTATGGAAGCCCTGCGAGATTGTCCTTGGCCTGTGATCCATTTGCAGTGTCTATCGGGGACGATAATGGCTGGTCCCATTGGGTCCAAATCAATACGCTTCGAGTCAAATAAAACAAATATAAGGTGATGTATCTATTATTTACCATTTCTAATTGTTCAGGCGAAGTGGATCGTGATGGGGGAAACTAGAAAAAATTTCTGCGATATTGTGGATAGGGCACTAAGTGGTATGCTGTAGTTGATTATCTAAGTTATGCCGTTCTGTCGAAAGAGTTTTTTGCTACATTTCATTGTATTACAGAAATGCTTTGCAGGAGAAATATCTGCATAAGAGAGAGAAGCCCTAATTGCGTGTTCTCTGAGATAGATGCCGATTGCAATCAGGAGTCATTGACCTGTTGACTGCTATCTATAATAATTGTTAATCGTTCACTAACACTTATTATCAAACTGAAGACTCATTCGACCACCAATTGAACAGGCGCACTCCACTTCCGAATTGTGAGCGCCGTATTGGGTCGGTTCAACGCATGCAGATCCTGAATCAGATTATAGTGAAGGAAGCTATGCAAATATGATTATTGGGAATATATTGAATTGCATATTTGCATATGGAGAGCTGTTTGTCTAATATCCTTGAGATTTCTCACTGATATTACATATTACATAGCTCTAAATGTTGATTAAATTCACACCACCAGTTTCACTTAGTAGTAGCGTCAGGATGTTTATTTCACGCGAATCCTATGAGTAACTCTTTGATCTTTTAAACTTGTACGGTCATCAAGATACTCGTTTATTCAGTGCTTGGCAACCGTCGAGATGAGGTTCTCAGGCAGTTCAATCGCCTCCATTCGAGAGCGAAAATACAATACGTGGAATATAGAGCCAAGATGTAATAAAGTTTACGATGAAATTCATGCATACTTTACACATACTCGTATGAACACGGTAAACTTGCAACGCCAGTATAGAGCATCCCACTTCTACGTACCCAATATCACATCTCACATCCAAAACATAGTCCGATTTTGTTAGCGACAAACGCTACCGTTATATTTGCACACCGCGTTGAACAACTAAGCTTATCCTGTCAAGTCTACTATGTTCGATAGAATCATAATCGAATAGGTAAAGCTATCATATGTGGCACATTAGTGTCCTTGCTTGGCTTCATAAGCAGCAACGTATTTATCGAGATCAAAGTTGGGGTCTTCCGGATTCGATATGACTGAAGAGATTGGAAAGCAAACGCAACAAATGAACGAGTGTTCAGATAATGATCGCATCGATTACGGTTGCAGCAACGCCTCCCACTACACTGAAACTCATAAGAACTATCACGTTCAACTACTTGTCATAGCACTCCCACCACAGTCTCTTGTCCCAATTCTTCCTTCCCATCCATGAATTCAAACATACGCACCGCCCAAGGGACTCGGCGACGTCTGCTTCGCAGCGTAAGCAGCCTTTGCCTTTTGAATAAGTTCCTCTTTATGTTTGTAAGCAGCCCAGGCTTTTTGAATTTCTTCGTTTTTCTCTAGGGAACGTCGATGAACATATCCATATGATATTCCAAAACCGAGAGCAAACCAACGAGCTACCTGAGTGATAAACGTCAAATTTGAATTAGGGAATGAATCGGTTTAAAAAAAAAAAAAGCCAAGTGACTATTGATTAGCTGGCGAAACGAGATATTGGAGAACGGGTTTTGGAGTGGGGCTGTGGGAGAGGATGGTATAATAGGAATCGTACGGGAGTTATTTTCGTACTTTACTAACAATAATTTCTTCTTGCTTCCATATTATGCAGTTGCTTCTCCCACAGCCTCTATTTATTTCCGTCAACTTATCTCTCCCCCCACCACGTTATTCATCTCCAGGGAAGCGGCATTTAATCAACATTCATTACATACTTTAAGGGTGGTTGAAGCCATGGATGGTATCTGTAATATAGCAATCTCCTGTCAATTGATGCCGATATGGACGGACGAGCTTATATGGACATATGCCGTCCTTCAATTGATTTCTTCTCGCAAAAAAGTGTATTATATTGACTTTCGGTCGATTGGAATTTTTTTACTATTGTCAAACTTTAGGAAATGAGCATGATCAGCCAATGAAATTAGACGGCCTTGAATAGATAAAGTCACATGAATAATTGCTTCCTTCTCATCAAGTTGACGATATCATAACACTCTGAAATTTACGCATCTATTAATTTGCCAGCAGAATAACGAGTCAAAGTGTCAACAATGATACTTGTTTTACTAATAATATTGACAACTGACATTGTTTGCTACGGGGTGTTTGAGGTTTGAATTCGTAGACTCTTTTCTTAATAATCCGAAATTGTCTATCTATAGACGAACACTATATTAAAAGGACATCAATCGTCCCAAATTCGAATGAATAATCCTCCGTGTTTTGGCAGAGAAGCAGAATAAGCAAACCCAACCTAATTACTTGACTAATAAAAGGATCTCTCATTAGTCATATTCGATCATTGAATCACATGACATAATAGTGACCATACAAACTAAAACTGTTCGAAAACCCTGTTTGTTGCTAAAAGCTTAAAAGTCATTTACACATGTCAATTCATATTAATATGCGTTACACTTGGGACGATGACAACTTGCGATCGCGTGTTTTATTAATATTGCTTGACAGCAACAGAGGATTCCTTGAAACATCTCAACTTTTCTCAACTTCAAACTGCATGCATTCTCTAAACTGGTATTTTATTTTATTGGTCTACTTGGCAGGATGGGTTCCGTTGGCACATGCTACCGCATTTTTATTCGCGTTCTTTATTTGTAATGGGCTTGTGTAGTTTGCCAATGGTGTCATTTAATGATTATAACACATTTAGCATAGCATAAACTTCACCCTAAAACTGATGTCTCCAATCAGTAAGTACGCTTTCCTTGTTAAAGTTCAACCCATTTTTTACAGAGAGAAATTCTCGTTAATATTAATTGGTTTTATTCTTGATTTTTGGAGTAACTTAAATATTGTGTCTCATGACTTTTCGGGGGGTGGTTCAACAGATTTGGCTAAATATTTATGTATGAATCGGCATAAACGAAAGCTTTCCATGGCATTCTTTTTTCCGTTCCTTTTTTATTTGTTATTATGTTAACCCATAGAAAAGTAAAAGACCCAAGGTTTGTTTTTATATCGTCTACGCTTTAGAACATTTTTACTAGTCTTTGGATGTGAAAATTTCTAATTAGATCTTGTTAGTTCTCTCAACTTCTATTCGGGGGATCATCATCGTTATACCAAATTTGTATGGGGTGTTTGGGGGCCGCTATTCTCCGAAATATTCATTCCCCTGGAATGCACTCTCTAAAGTATAATATACCAATACTAATATTATAATCGACAATAAGTAGAAACACAAAATAAACGTGTAAAGCAGGTGGGGCATCTTAATGAACAATATAAATAGATCTCAACGTCCAACGACGTCTCCCCTGTTATTGTCGGGATCGATTTCTATACAAGATGAACCGATTATTTTTATTAATATTGTGTATATTCTCAATACTGTTCCCAGTAAACGGATGGAATGTTGAAAGTCTATTCGATGATATCAGAAATAGAGACATTCCCGTCAATAATTTCACCGCCAAAGACCATCTTGTTGGCAACCTGCCTTACGCAGACAACGAAATCCCCATTAAAGAGAGTTACGCTGGATACATCAAAGTGAGAACATTCGAAAGAGGTCAAGCACGAGAAGATGCAGGATTGTAAATATGATTGTAATGAATCGTATTATTCAAAAGTTTCGGCGTATTTTATTGAAGTAAATTTTTTCCTCATTTCAAAGATTCTATTGGTTCTTTCCCGCACAAGAACCGGAAACAGATAACCCACCTTTAATAATGTGAGTAATTATGACTTTGTAAACCGTCTAGGTATAAATCATAATTAAAAAGTATTGTAGAATTGTTGGGGAACAATCAGCTGACCAATTTGTGTAAATCGTTTCTTTATTAGTTGGTTACAAGGCGGTCCAGGGTCTAGTTCAATGATTGGACTTTTTTATGAGGTTTTTAATACACAAATTCTTTTCTGATTGTGCACTCGACGCACATTCGTCATGATCCCACTGACACACCATCAACGCCTTCATGCAGATGGGCCCATTACGAGTGATGCCCAATCTAACCCTAACAAGACATGAATACACGTGGAACAAAAAATACAGCATGTTATTCATCGATCAACCAGTGGGAACCGGGTGGTCGTATGTTGGTCAAGATGAACATGCAAATGGAGAAGCGAACGAACAAACGGAATTGGATGATGAAGATGCCAGTAGATTGAACAGAAATGATGAAATGAGCTCACAAAAAATAATAGGAATGGGTGGAGGAAAACGTGCGACAAAGAGCAAAACGGGAGAGGACATTATTGGTGGTTATGTTAACGGCTACGTAACTGATCAAAAAAGTGTTGCCAAAGACTTGTTGGTATTTATGGATGAATTTTACTCTAAATATCCTGAACAGAGGAACGCGGATCTGTACATTACCGGTATGGTACAGCTTGTTATCTGAACCACGTGAATTAAAAATTGAATATTGATGTCGATTGTTTTGTACAGGCGAAAGCTATGCTGGAAAGTATGTTCCTTCATTTGCCTATGCCATTCATTTATATAATAAAAAAATGAAGGGAGGTGAGTTATCGGTTGCACATGTATATATTTAATGGATAAACATACGTGAATATGCTAATAATTGGTTATATGAACAATCTTAATTAAAGACGGATCGTACAATAAGATAATTCCTCTTGCTGGAGTAGCTGTGGGTAAGTATGTGTGATATCACAGGACCTGTTCTGGATCAATTTAAGTTTGTACGCATGCATTCATATTACATACTTTGTTTAGGTAACGGCCTCACTGATCCTGAATCACAGGTCAAAATACATGGGCAGCATGCATATCAGCTAGGTGACGTACATTTACCTCGTTTTATGTTTGAAGGGTAGTAACACGTTCCTATGCTTAACGCTTCTTGCTTGTACAGGCCTCATCTCGTCTGATGACTCGTACGTACTGTTTCGCTACGCTGCCCAAACAATAGCCCAAATAAAACGACGCGACTTTATAGGAGCAGTAAATACGCGCAATAAACTGTTCCAATATTTTGCCAACGTTACCGGACATGTCAATATTTACGATGTTCGTAAACTCGATGTACAGAATGATTGGAGTCTAATGGAGACTATCATGCAGTCGAAACATATGAAGCAAGCGTTGAACGTGGGCCACAGAACCTATTTCAAGGATACTCATGTCATTCGGCTTTTACAGGCATGTTTCGTGTGTTATTTTTCAAAGACATGTTTGTGGCGTATTCTGACAGTTCAACTATAATATTATTATCACTGTCGCAGGGTGACATAATGAAATCGGCTGCAAACCTATTCCCTACATTAATTAAACATTACAAAGTACTTTTGTATCAAGGAAACATGGACTTTCGCGATGGAGTCAGCGGGAACACGGAATGGCTTTATAATTTGAAGTTTGATGGCGCAAAAGAATTTAGAAAGAAACCACGTAAAGTAAGTATCACCAGTAAGAGTTTCTCCCACATGATTGTTAGCATGTACTCGTATAGACTAGCGTTGCGGGTTTTCTTCCCTACACACAAGGTTTACCGTTAAGGGTAAGATTAACCAGGCTAACTTAACGTTACTTACTATACTATTTTCTATTGTTCTCCAGATTTGGAGACTGAACGGTCATGTCGTGGGATACGTTGTTAATCACATGAACTTGACAAGAGCCATAATATTAAATGCAGGGCATCTAGTGCCCAAGGATCAACCGGTAAGCGATCGTGGTTTTTTGGTCTGTTTACCCGTTGGGAACCAAATTCTAACTCATTCTCTCAAAAAGATTACTGCATTAGAGATGATCAGCAGATTCATCGAAAACAAGGAATTTTAATCTCGATTTCACTGAATAATAATAATTTAATAATAAACATCCCTTTTTACACGTCGCACGAACCTTTTTGTAGTACTGTATTTTTTTTTGTTTAATATAAATAGATGTATTACCCCCAACCCCCGACGTGATCTGGAATCTAAGGGATGAAGTTACTACTAATATTACTAGTCTTTTCGCTCATCGTTGGTATACATGCATGGGGGTTCATCGGTCGGTAGATTCCAAGCACTGTTTATGTATGCAGATTTGGACATAGAAAGTATATCGTTCACCTTCTGAGATATAATTATGTATATATATATATAGGCCACGAGATAAGTGCATCTATTGCCCAACATTATCTATCACCAAAAGCGCGCCGAGCAGTCCAATCTCTACTGCCGGAAGAAGCTCAAGGAAACCTAAGCTAGTGCGTAGCATGTATCTCAATGTATCAATAGTCAACCATCTTAATTACTTATTATTAAACGTTTTCCGACTAGTATTGCTCCATGGGCTGATTCGGTTCGGATGGTGCCGAAGTATCGTTTCTCTGCTCGACTCCATTACGTATCGTCAAAGAATGACTATCCTCCCAAGAAATGCGCAATAGAGTTTGTAAAAGGGCATCCCGATGTTCTTAATGCTATATCCAATTACACACATAGGTTGGATCCAAATACGGATCTAAATTACGCACAGAGAGCAGAGGCGTTAAAATTTTTGGTTCATTTTATTGGAGATTTACATCAGCCACTCCATCGTAAGTCGGGCGGGATAAGTGAAAGATTTTTAGTATCATGTATTATGTAATAATATATTATTCTTACATAAACGCAGTAACCGGGAGATTTCGGGGCGGGACCTTCGCCTACGGTAAGTCATTTTTAAATATATTCAGATTGAAATGTAACCCTTTATACGAGTTGGGATGTGAGCATAATTTTTACAATCTTTCATCCTTTTAGCTTTATTCGAAGGACGCAAAGCTACTTTGCATTCAATATGGGACTCGAGAATATTATTGGTAAGTGACGCCACTCGCTGCTCATTTTATTATTCGAAAATCAGTCAGCCTAATATTATCCTCAACAGAAACGTATAAACGAACTACAACAAAACGCTGGCAACGTTAGTGACTACTATTACGATGAGGAATCCGTTGATAGAAAGTTTTATGAACCGTACGTTAATCACATAATTACCATGATGTCAAAGACGTGGAGGTTACAAAAGAAAAGTTGGGTTGAATGCGCCCAAGAAAAGCTGGTTCAATCTTCAGCTGAATTGGATCAATTGCCCGTCCAGGACGACGACATGGACATGAACGCACCCATTCCGCCAATGTCGCCAACTGCTTGTGCGTTTTATTGGTCTCAATACATAAATCAATTAAACTGCGACTTTGTGTGGGATGGATTTGAAAACGGCATGGAATTGGGTGAGGGTGATTACTATGACAGAATATGCGAGTCCCACTTGATGGAAAAGTTGTTGGGTATGGCAGGGTACCGAATGGCAGCAGTATTGAATGCATTATTTGTATACTAAAGTCAACTGTAGGAAAATAGTTATTGACATATTATAATACAATATAGCTTCTATGTATAATAACATGTATATGTTCATACTATAGCGACAGCCCATATTCCACGGAGATGGATTAGCTTTGGAGTGATGATCTCTCAATATTATCTATTCCTTGTTTCTGATGAACATATATTTTACATTAATGAAATCAACTACTTAATTTATACGTATCAACATGCGGAATAAATTGGTATGCGACCTCACATACGTATTACCATTGTCCTGTAGACCTACAATTACAAATTCTATTATCCTCCTTATTCATGAGTTGCATCAATCCAGATGGTCATAACGCCAATGACTATTTCGACGGCTAGAATATTATAGAAGCGATCGCATACTTAATTCGAGACCACACGAAAGAAAGAAAGAAAGTAAGAAACAAAATTTACATTCTTACCAATGAGTATGATGACAATCCATTCTAATTGTTCGTCTAGTAAATGATGTGTAAATGATGCATCAATTGATTGTCATCGAGATCACAAGAAAGTATTCTAAAACAGAGACACAAACCATGAGAACTAGTCAAATGCTCCTTCAATATGTCGAGCAGATCACCTAACATGAACATTAGCAATTAAATTATTGTCAAGCATATGACCGTCTCGCTTCATGTATAATAACACAGTACTATCGTTACAAGTATCTCGAGTGTCTGACAACCAGCAAACTTACCAATAACATCCACTCTTTGATTCAAAACTTCAACCCTCTGCGAAATCTCGAGATACCCTAATAATGTCATACAAAAGATAGTCGATATTTATACTGTTCATATCGAAAAAAAAAACGTGTTTTTTTTTTTTTTGATATATGTGCCAAACCCGTAAAATACCTCTTATTGCTTTATAGAGTTCCTTAAAAGCGGGCTCGGACCAGAACATTTCTGGGGTGTCCAAGACATTGCTCACGAGATTGACATTCATCCTCATGATAAAAAGCTATGATAAAATAGAGTTATAACAATGATCCATTTGCAGAATATCAATAACATTTTGGGATTACCTGTCCAATCTTTTTTGTTATTGCAACCCTATGTAGTAAGCGAATACATTATCTGGTTTTACCAACTTTTCGTAATTAGATTCCAAACCGATATTTATCCAACATCTACCGTAATCTCACCTAGACATTTGAACCTTCCCGGTCTCTGCCATAGTTTGCGGTATGTCTTTCGTGGCTTCGATAGTGTCCTCCACCAATCCTTCAAACAACGTCATCTTCACCGATTGGGCAATTGCATGAGAAATGGTGACTCTTACCATGTAATTACCGGGATTCTTAAGAGTGATCACATCATTATAGATACTATGAAGGTCACAATATTTTTACAGACTTGATGATTAAATAAAAAACCATCACGCAAACTCGTCATGTTTTACCTTGGTTGATGGGAATCTGCGTAGTGATAGTGAAATTCTTCCGTTTCCACATCTTCAGAGGCTGATAAAAAAAAAGACGTTTACTCGATCAAAACGAACGAAATTACAATCGAGATCATCCAATGTAAATTCAAACCTAGTTTTTCTTCTTCAAATGGAATAAGTTCACGCAATACTCTTCTCTCATCCTCCTCACACATCCCCCAAATTACTACAACACCATACTCAAAATATAGTACTTCAGGTGTTATTATCGTAATTTCAGCTGCGTCTTCGTTGTTATTTAGTTCACCTACAATTAACGGTGATGTTCGCGGTGGATAAAAAGTGAACGGAGTGTATATACTTTGGAAATCGAAAATGAGTGATGCAATAAAATATTATGATTGCGTCGTAAACAGCATAAAACAGGTAAATGACGAGATTACCATTCATCAAATCGCAAAGGCGCCGTCCCATTGATAATCTTTCGACTTTTCAAATAGTTCATCAAGTCATTTAATCGATATGATCTATTTAAAAGAACAACCATAATAAATATCGCGTGCCTACTTACACAACCGCACGCACTTTGTAACTTCCCCGACTTACGATGCAGTACAGTAAGCAGTGACTCTCGGCAACTTTGATGTCTCAAGCTTGCTAAATTTCTCAGCTTCACGGCGAGCAGTTCTTTGGAATATTTGGCTGTACGTTTCGCCATATTCGTCTGTTTCAGCAAATTCTTGTTCCTCAGGGAAGAATGTAAGTTTCTGTGAAGTTTTGGTTGTCCGATTTGGTTGTTTGGATTTTGGTCGGGTTAAGTTATGGGGTTGGGGTTCTGAAAGCGGATTTATAACTGTAATTGGTGTTGCGTCTGGTGCTGAGACTGATAGTTGAGAGTACGGTTGACCTTTTTTCGACATGCTGCAGAAAACGATTTGTTCGGAATGCGAGAATTCGTAATCTGTTTGTTGGTTGCACGTCAAGGGTACATTCTCAATAAATTAACATTTAATACTCGATATTAATATTAAATATGGCGTGCAGCAAAAAAAACAACACACGAGTATATATGACGTCACGTGTAGGTCACATAATGTTTTGTATACTAATACAGCAAGGCAAGAATTAAATTTTTATTTTACTCGGCTCGCGAAACTTGTCAAGGAAACTGCTTAACGACTTGGGAGAGCACTGTTTGAAAGGGTGATGGGTTTATAGCTACAGACAAATTACGCTTCTAGAATCGGTCGCGCCGTTATGTAATATTGTTAATACGTTACGGTTTCTTGTATTATTGTAATAGGGTATGCATTAACATAATTATTGGTCAAAAGTCGCAAGCCATGAGATTTGATTACTATCGCTATTTATGTGCGTATTCCAAAGCGTTGCTTTGATTACTGTTATACATTATTCATTTACTTAATTAAATAATTGATGCATCGTTTTATAGTCTTTATGTTTCTTCATTGTTTATTTGTTTTTACGGTACGGTTGTAGAAAGCCTTTTTTTAATTCAATTATGCTTGCATGCACAGAGAATTTGTCTAAAACGGTCAATATGTCATAATTACATCATGAACCATATCTTTACAGTATAACGTAGTTTTATAGAATGGACTATTCGCCGAAGAGACTACCCGCCGCACTTTTCTCGTAATTCAAATTATATATTTGGTAACTTTGAATTTTATTGACACGACGCAGGACACAGTCTCACGAGGTGAATCTAGTATTTTGAAAATAAAAATAAATACCGAGTCAAATTACATACAACTTTAATTAATACTAAACTATTGCTTACCTCGGAATAAATAATTCCGACTTTTTATCTAAACTCTTAAACCGGTTAAGTACAACGCGTTGTGACATCCTCTACGTTTCTTATACTATACACGTTTTATTATGTTGTATAAAGCTGTCCAATATCGTATGTATGTCGTAGTAGAAAACTAAATAATATTTCCGAGTATATGAGTCCTGGGAATTCGCACAAGGTGCCTGTGCGGCTGCAATTATCGCAGGGCTAACACTTTACTTCTGGCATGAGATACATGACACGGAGACTTTGCTTCTTGACATGGGATATAGGGTATTAAGGTGTTGGAATATTTGTGTTTGAGGTAAGGTAATATTTCGTTTCCCGTGCAAGTGGTGGATAAAGTATGCTTCGCCTATTTAATTACGGCGGCATATTTTAGAAAACTTATTTGATAAAGTACGCGGTATAAAACATACGCGCGCGAATAAAACGGTCTTTCTTATACACGTATTGTCTTAGAGTCATTTACCCATCTTGAGAACGGGTCGAGGAATGTTGAGTTTTTTTCAACTCAAACCCGTCCTTTTTATGTGCATACATCCAAAGGTAAGTTGCTTAAACTTGTGGAACAATTTTAGTGAAAAATAGAAAAATTTTTAAGGTTTGTTGATTCCGTGTGGTTGTTCTTTGATTAGCGTTTGTGTGACCTGGAGTTTATTTAAATAATTGGGCATCAAAAAATCGGGGCTGGCGTACAAGAGCCCGGTTTCAGAATTTTTATGATTGCAACAAAAGAATTCGTCTTATATTGTTCTTGGCTAGTGTGAGCGTACATCATTAAATATACTGAATTCAAATTGTCCCTCATAATAATAAACTTGTAAAAAAATTTGCTAGTCTAGTTGATTAATTTAGCGTTAGTAGTACAGTTGTGGCCATATCTAAATTTATGGATAACTTGAGTTGCGTTTAATCCGTATTAATTTGGTATCAAAACATAAACTTGTTGACATAACGTTTTATTTGTAATATATTTCATACAGGCTATCTCTATATAAACAGTGTTAATGTAAAATTAATTTACATTAAGTTGACTGTGAATTCAAAAAATTACAGAAAGACCAAGGAGTAAAAATTGTTCCCATGCATCTTTAAAATCAAACTCTCCAGATTAAGAAAAATTGCTATAAAACTTAAATTACTTAAGTTTGTTGTTTTCTTAAAATTTCAACTTCATTTTGAATTTTATCTAACAATTTTTTACTCTGTTTATTATTATTATTATTATGCCAGTCTTTGAAATATCTAATAATATTGCAGTCACAGTTGTTGCTTGCTGCCCAGTCTATGTATCAGAGTAATTGTGCTTACAACAAGACAATGAGTCTAAGCACACATCCTGAACAAACAGTTAATAATTTAATCAAGTCTATGAAAACGAGATCAAATGGTCTTGAAAAAAAAAACGGGGATAGAATTTCATATTAAATTTTTATACATAATTATAATAAAGATTTTCATAAGCTAAAACATATGGGATTCGATACTTTTCAAAGTTTTTTTTTTACTCATTTTTTGTAGACGACTGTCAATAAAATTTGCACTATTCGGAAGTCAATTGATGGTAGTTTATAGAAGAGACATACAGTCAAAGCTCGGAAAACCGATAGCAGTGTTTTCGCCTCTTTCCGAAATATTTTGCGAATAAATTTCGATATAGAGGTTGAGAAATTATTATATTTGATTGGCGGACAATTACATATGGTAAATAAGAAACTGTGAATTTATTGCCATCATTGATAAAATTATCAATTTGCGATTGACTTGATCTATCCGCAAGATTTCTGATTTCAATGAACGCAGAACCAATAATGCCTTATTATTATTGAAGACGAAGCCACTGGGCGGATCATTGACAATCGCATTAGGTTGTCCACACTTGCTAATTATAAATTAATATTACTGTAATGTCTTTTTCTCAGTAGCAATCAAAATTTTTTTATCACCCTTTTCGATTTGTGAGGATTCAGAAGTTTCAGAGTTTATCCAGGGATCGAGCCCAGTCTCTTCTGTATATGCTTTATCTGTCAAATGGCTTGGCGAATCAACCAATTTAACTTGCCAATATAAATATTCAGGAGTTAAGGCTTTATCCATGTTATTTGTTTTATATGAGCGTAAATTCAACTTAAGTATGAGTTGTGTCTTTGTCTCACTTATATACAAGGATACTTACGCGCTGACTCTGTGCATATCCTAAAATAATAATTAAAAAAAAAATTAGTTTAAGCTTACTTGAAACAAAAAAATATACCTAGAAGGCTTTATCCAGTTTGTCCGTCGAACAACTGACGTACCCCAAAGTTTTTTATTTTGGGCTTATGCTTTTATATCAATTTCATGGTCCCACATTTAATAAATAGTCGTATCTACCTTTTATACTTTTTCCTTCCTCATGACTTTGTTTGCATACTGGACATAATGACCCCTCATGAATTCCATAATAATCAAATTTTTCACTACTAAATTCTTTATATAGATCAGAATATCCCCACACTATCTTATTACGAAAATAAGCACGATCATGGGTTAAGCTGAGGTGTAGATGGTATATTTGCCTCAGCCTTCGGCAAATCGCCTATTAGAGATATGAGTAGTATTATTAGGTAATGCTTCGGTATCTGAGACACTTACCTTGGTATTGGGTAAAGATTTGAGATCCTCAGTTGAGATTACATGATTTTATCGTTTCCTAGGGAAACGAAATTCACATGATTAAATTTTGCGGGACATAATGTCTCGGGAAAATGCCAGCCTAGAAATAGAAGATTACCTTTTTATCTTAATTAAATAAGTGATTTTTTTGTTATTGACTGTAATAAATACGAAAAAAAGGACTTATTATGCCGAGTGAAACTTGGGCAAAGTCTGTATAAAAATACAGTAACCATATTGTTTAAAAGGTAATATAAAAACTGTACGTATAAACAATTGATATCGATATGTAATAGGTAAAATTTGTTATTTGTGGTACAATTTAACTCCCCAAATAGTATCGTACACCACCTCATGCCCGCACATTTTTTGTTGCCACCCGTCTTCTCTACGCAAATTTCTTCTACACGAATTGTTCTTTTTCTACTTGCATCGATAAAAAAAAGTATGTAGAACAAGTCTTTCGTCTGATCCATCGCAACTTTACTAATTCTTCGTTTTCAGTGGAATATTTCTCCAGAAGACCACTTTTCCGATTCCTCACTCAGCCCGATGTCGTATCTGCGATTAATTCTATAACTGCTGATAATATATTCGACTACTATCAGCAGGAAATGTCAAATAGGAAACTTTCGCAAGTATATCAAGTGATAAGCCAAGATTTGGATGAAGTACTCGAATCAAATTTCTTTAAAGAAGATACGACGCGTGTTCTGAGGGACATTAGAGACAATTGGGCTGTAAGTAAACTATTTTATATATTATGAATTGGAGGATAGAGCCTCTCGTTTAGGAGAGAGCTTAAGTATCTGAAAGGAAGTAGGGACTGCGGTCGCTTACTTCTGGTGTATGAGGACTGCGGTCGCTCAAGTTTGGAAGTCTGGGGACTGCGGTCGCTTGGACCTGAACCACTCCTCCCCAATCGTTTCGAGCTAATTCGTGTGAGTCTCATAACTAATGCTATCTTTTCATTTTGAGACGTGGAAAAACCAACGCATTCGATTCTATAAAAATGAAGAAGCGATCAACAAACAAAAGACCGGTCGCGAAGTTCAGTTTGTGAGTGCATATTTGTTGGATTCTTATTTTTTTTTACTATAGGAAATGAGCCCATTACAATCACTGTTTTCTCTTTATAAGCAAAAGTGCGTCACGAAATATCAAAGAGGTATCGCTAAAGTTACCAACGCGGAAATTGATAAGTGGGCTGAAGAATCGGTAAACGTTGGTAAAGAAAAGGTAGGTCTTAATCACGATCAATTATAAGCTACAAAATTTTTTTAACATGTTGCAGGGAGAACTTTCAGTCCGCAGATCGCCTCGACCAATGAAACGCGTTAACTACGCTGAAGAGAATTCAGACGAAGAGAGGAAGATGAGGAGAGTAAATAGTACTGCTCATTCGCAATCGACAGAATCTCCACAACCTAGAACCCCACCGCAAGCTCCTCGGAATTTAATTCAACTCCGAATAAGCGACCGCGAAATAAACAGGAAATTCAGCAGTAAGTTTCCCATTTCCTATCACTTAACAAATGGAGAAATTCTAATAATCTCTTAACTCGCAAATTCCTCCAAATATTCCAAAGATATCTCTGTTATATGTGCTTTTGATAAATCTGTTTCGGAGTTGGCCTTAGAAATCGGCGAGGAGCTTGCCATTGAGCTATCCTCTATTCGTGACATCAATCCTGCTGTGTGGTCGCATGCTCTGGAAAAATATGTTGATACTTCTCTTAAAGAAACTGGAAAAAAATTTAAAACTGCAATTCAGGTTGAAGTTCCGAATGAACCATTTCGGTTGTATTGCGAAAAAGTTCTTCTTGATTTGTAGGTAGATGTTAATATCTGATGTTGTCAATCAAAATAAATATTGACCATGGGTTCTTTTTTAGTTATAATCTTGTTGATGTAAATTCTACAATGGACCGAAATATAGGCGAACAGAAATTTATTACATATCAAATCTCATCGATTTTAAAATTTTATGAGAGGACGTTTTTGAATCTTAACTTCGATTGGATTGAAAGCCATGCATCTTTGGCAAAAATGACAAAATCCGCAACAAATTCAGGTATAGTTAAAGTAGACTCCAAGGCAACTCGGTATTCAGACGGACAAGAAGTTTGGCATATGGAAGTGGCCGATGGACCGTGCAAAACAACAGACTTACATACTCTTGGTTCTATGAAAAAAATTATGCGAATGGATGTTTTGAATTTAATTGGAATTTTACGAAATCACTTTGATTGTGACATAAAACTCGCCACTAAAATCAAAGTGTTCTGTACTCAGGTGATCGGTAAGTAATAGTATATATATATATATTTGTTTTTTTTTTTGATATTCATGTTTCTGTTTCTTCAGGTACACGAATGACTCTCTATGCATTGAATATGCTCCCGGATGGAAGATTTCTTTCTTCGGAACTTGCTACAGCTTCAATCCCTTTCAGCTTCCATGGTCGAAATCAATATAAAGCTCTTCTCAGAATGATGGCTATTTTTCATGTATGTATCTGATGATTTATGTTCATATACTCATCTGATAGTGGTACCTTTTCTTTAGGATGGGATAACGAAACAAGAAGAATTAATGGGCGAGATTGAACGATCTGTACTTCGATCTAAAGGAACAACAGTTCGTCATGTATTAAAGATTCCCGATGAATTGTTTGAATGAGAGTCTGTATATTTTAATTTAAGTTAGCAGATGACAGAATAGATTTTCCGTAGATTAGCTGATGTATATTCACGCTAACATTAACTAATTATTATCACATATATTTATTCTTAGTATTAATGCAGATTAACAAATAAAAGCTGTTTATTGACAATCAAACGTGATATACATTATTTATTATGTGTTTGGATTTTGATACATGCTGTGCTTTATTTAACATTGAGGCAAATCTTGCAATACACAATTTATTTTTTAATTCATTGTGTACATCTGAATAAATAAATACAGTCATACCTCTTTTATATCCCGACTTTGAGACAAGGAGTTTTCGGGGATATAAATGAGGTATTCATTTAAAACTAAAACATGCAATTTTATTGGTTAATAAATTCGGTTAATGAAGTTTGG